AGTGAGGAAAGCAATCAGGCTGGAGCTGAGCTGTGAGTAAGAACTTGACCCTGAAGGCACTCGGGAGTCATTGTAGGTCCAGAGACCAAGCAGTAATGTGGTGCAGGTAGTGCAATCTACTTTGTGAAGTACAGTCTGCCTGCAGGTGCCAATTTGAAGCAGGGGATAGGGGGGTGGAGGGAAGCAGATTCCAAGGGACAAGAATGAAAGCCACTAAATGAGTCCATGATTGGCATGATGGGTCCCGGCCTAGGGAAGAGATCCTGCAGATGAACAACAGGGCTAGCTATGAAAGACAATTCAATAGGGCTTGTCAGAGGAGAGATTCCTCACAGACTATAAGTACCAAGGAAGAAGCAAAGCCTCCCAAATCCTATGGAGATGTGCCTGGATGTCATTGATATGTTCTAAAATGCACTAATATAGAAATAGCTGATGTAAACGCAATATTAGAAATACTAACAACTTTCCCGCTCCAGAACAACAAAGTCCTTTTGCTACTCCCCACAAGTTTCTGGGAGCTAGTCTGGGGAGTTATCAAGACACACACAGCTGATTTTGAGGCTGGCCGAAGTCCAAGTGATAGCAAACACTCCAGTGAAAAATGTCGGGATTCACAGGACAAAGCTCAACAGAAGAACATAGGTGGAAGATATTTCCACATCATTCTGCTTTCATTTATCTTCTTGGTTTACCCTTGAATCTTAAAGAAATAGTTTTCTCCTCTGTCACCAAAGCTAAGTTCTTACATTTGTTAGAAAAACCACTCTTATTTCACCTCTTCAGGTACCTAACTCAAGAATCAATCTCACATCTTCAGTTTGTCCTGTCCACAAGCTTGCTCCCTTCCACCTCCAAACCTGTTCTGACTCTGAAAAAAACCACACACACACACACACACACACACACACACACAAAACTGCTCTTCTTTATACTAACATCCCTTATGATGAGTATGCAACCTCTTTTCCTTTCACTGATAAAGTCTGCAAGTAACTGCTTTCTACCCATCATCCCAAGTCCCTATTCTAAATTCCTCTTTTAATACTATACTACCAATAGCTCTCAGTGGCCTTCTTTTTATCACATCCAGTGACACTTATTCAGTGCTCCTGCATTTCTCCTACTCAGTGTGTCGGTAGCCTGTCATCACATCAAAACCCACACGGCTTTCTGGGGTCCCCAGGATCAAGTCTCCTTTGCTGCCACTTCCTAAATAAGCATTTCTCCCCCAATTTCTTGATGCAGAAAGTTTCCACACCGGCATTGCCAACTCTAACCTCTGCCTATGCTTCTATCTTGGGGCCACATTTCCCCAAAACAACTCCACCTGGATGTCCCTCAATCACCTCTAATTATCCACATTTGAAGCTAACATCACTACCTGCAAAACCAGCTCCTGTCTTCAACCAGACTTCAGGAGGGACATTGTCAGGCCTCTGCAATGCCAATCCCGCTGCTTCTGCTTCTTCATGGGCTTATTTTTCTTTTCCCTTTCTAATTAGTCAACAAATCCCCACATTTCCACCTTTGAAAATGCCTCTCAATGTTGTTCCTAATTGCCCATCCTTTTGCCACACAAGGCATCCCACGCTGCCCACCCCACTCCACCCCCTGGTCTGGATCACTTTTGCATCTCCCTGGATTCTCTCTCTCTTCTCCACTTCATCAGTAATATTACCTTCAGGTGAAACGTTCCAACTATCACTTTCTTCAGGATATGCCCTTGCTCAAGAACCTAAATGACTCCCTGCTGACCCTGAATCAAATCCAAACACTTCTCTTGGGCTTCCAAGGCTCTTCCTATCTGGCCTTGCCCTACTTACCAATCCTGTTTCCTCTTCCTCCCAAACTACACCTTCCATTGGGTCAGCCAGCAATCTTCAGTGTTAATGCCCCCACCTCCCTGTGTCCACACTGCTCTTCCCACTCCCCATCCACAGCCCTCCCCACAGGCGATCCTCAGTTCCATTTCTCTGAAGTTCTGTCAACTTTTTATTTTATAGCACCATCATGGTTAGCAATTCATTAATCTCTGAGAAGTTATTGTCAAACACCTTTTTTAGAGTTCTTCAAGGGCAGAAAGCAATTTGAATATTTTGTTAGTATCCACAGCAAAAGGCTTCTAGAAGTTGGAAAATCCTCGTTGGCTATTTATTCCATTTCGTTCCTATTTTCATTTCTGAATTTCCATATCCCCCCTTCTCTATCTCATAGCCATGATCAATAAAATTAATGAGACACACTTTCCCAGGCATGGAACAGAGAATTCCCGGGTAGATGATAAGGAGTCCACCAATCTATAAGAATAGTGTGCTGGGGTGGTGTCTGTGTGTGTCCACATGCATGCAGGGAAGTAAGATGGAAGAATTCTAGCTTAATCTATTGGTCAAGAGAACTGAAATACCAAAATAACTGGAAGATGACAAGTAAGGAACCAAAATGATAGAATACTTTGAAACATGCCTGATTAGAGGCACAGGATTGCCATAGTTTTGACAAAGCAATTTGACAAAGCATCAGTCTGGTCTTAGTACATGCAACATTTTCCACCAAAAAGAAGGAGGTAATCCAGGCACTGGGGCCTTTGAGAATTTGTTTGAAGGTTTTCTCAGTTGTTCAGTTGAATAAATTCATAACGTCCTGATTACCAGGTGTAGTGCTATGTTCCATAGACAGGGGAATCAGAAGGAAAATGTTAGAAATAGGGCTTTTTTTTTCTGGGCTCAAGAATCCCCAACAAAAGCCTAAAGATTGGGAAGGGTGAGATCAAGAAGCAGCACAGAGGACCTTTTGGACTCCCTGCACTCCCTTTTGGAACTTGTTACAGGGAATCAGTCATTTCCAGCAATGTGCACTGAGGTTTTCACATTTCTCTGATTCTGAGAGCACATCAGACCTAGCCTCCCTTCACCAAGGCCATCCAAGGAGGAAAGAATATCCCTAACAGGAGTCCCCAGGAGTCTGCTATTCACTCTGTGATTTGAGCCTGGGGCAGACAATGTAAGCTCCGTGTTGTGTTTTGAAAGGCCCTGGGAAAAGTAACACATTGGACCATTAGAGGCCATTAACACCATTAACACTGTGTGAATTCATTTGTCAGAAATTAGCAAGCCTCCAGAAACCCAGCTCCGCTCCAAGGGCCTGGGACAGAGAATAGACGGGAACCAGTGTTTAGGTGGTAGGAAAGGGAAAGGAGGCGTGAACGCCAAAAAAATAAAAGTGAGGGCTAAAAAAGAAAAAGTGGGAAGGCTCCCACTTCAAGAGTTTTCCTCAAGTTAAGAAAAGGCAAACTTTTTGCCCCAGATGGGAGGCAAGAGGGATCAGGAAGACCTCCTGGTGAATGTTTTCTGGCACCATTTGGCTCATAGAAATCTGACCCTAGATGGCAGGCTACAAACTTAAGTCCAGTCTGAGGTGATGGCTCCCTACATGCACTTTCGAATCCATGCTGTGGTTGGGAGGGAGGGGGGAGGAGGAAGGAGAGAGAGAGAGAGAGAGAGAGAGAGAGAGAGAGAGAGAGAGAGAGAGAGAGAGAGAGAGAGAGAGAGAGAGAGAGGATATGAATGAACATGAATGTGTGTGTAGAATCCACCTCTGAGGGAAAGGAAGGAGGGAGAGAGGCAAGGCTGAGCCCTGGGAAGCAGGAGAGGGTAACAGGGGCTCCCTCTGCTCTCCCCAGTCCTGGCATCTGCTCCTGTACTCCAGCATTTTCCTTCCCAGACCCACCAGAAAATGAACATATGGGCCCATCAAGTCTTGACTCCTAAAGCCACCAGCCTCCCCAACAAAGCACTCCTAGAGATGACCTGAGGGCCAGGCAGGGAGGTTGGGAAGCAGATGGATGTGCAGAGAGCTTCCGAGCTACCCTCAGCCCTGACCCCCACCAGTTCATGCCCTCTAATCAAAACTTACTGAAGGGGAGGGCAAAGGTGCCGGTGCCCATAACTTACTGGACTCCGTGGGACAAAGATTCTAGACAAAATGGTTCCAGACATGGGCGATGGGGAGCTCTATAGACCGAGTTGGTGGAAACCACAGATAAAAGGACTTGGAGAATCCCTAGCCACCAGGGAAAAAAAAAAAAAAAAAAAAAAAGACAGGGCCACAGGTGGTGGGGAGATGAGGGTGGTAGGTGTCTGTGCTGGGAAGGGGCTCTGTAGCCAAGGAACAGGAGAAGCTACAGGCCTGGGGGATGGGAGATGGCGGGGCTGCAAGCGCTGGGAGGACGCATCTGGGGGCTTTACAACCCGCGGACAAGCAAAGATCCAGTGGTGTGTACGAGGACGACGCTAACTCACACTTCCAGGAAGGAGTGATTCTTAGGAAAAGCTTATGTGTTTCCAGAACTGGGAGAGAGGAGGACACGGAGGAGCTCCCAAGCTCCCACCGCCCTCCCAACACGACCTGCCTCTCAAGTCTAAAACGCTGGCTCCCCGCACACAGCGGGCTTGGCGGCCCCGGGTCCGCCCCGCTCCTGACTGTCAGTCTGCAGCCTTCGTGACTCCGGGTCCCCGCGGCCCTCGGTGCACATCAGGATCCCGGGCCCTGACCGGGAAGGGGTGCCAGCCCGGGGCGGCCGGAGCCGGGCTGACAGGCGCTGGGAGAAGGGGGACAAGGGAGGGGGTCCCCAGGATCAAGGGGGACGCCGGGAGCCCGAGCGGGCGCGCTGCAAAGTGATCCCACGTCGCCCCATCCCCGCGCGCTCCGGGGAAGGCAGCCGAGGGACCCGCCTCCCGCGTCCCCGCCACACACTCCCGCAAGTGGGGTGGACGCCGCCAAGGGGCGCCGCGCTCCCAGCTCCCCACCACGCACCCCCGAAACGCTCCCAGCATTGCCATCACAACAGGAATCTCGGCAACTCCAGCCCGGACGACGAGGGGGGGTGGGGACTGCTCCCCAACGTGCATGCACGCCTGCAGCCACAGCCCCGCTTCCCCAAACTTGTCCGAGGCAGCTAGCGGCCCTGCCTGCGGCCGCCCGCGCCCTGCCCAGCCTACCTGTCCGGAAAAAGGCGTCCACGTCCGAGTCCGCCGCTCCTCCTTCCTCCGCCGCCCCCTCCGGGGGGTTCATGACTGGGGGAGGGAGGGCGTCCGCGGGCAGCCGGGGGCCGGCGGAGCCTGGGGCCGAGGGCTACCCGGAGCCGGGCGGGGGGGAGCAGGGCGCGGGGCGCAGCGGCTGCAGCCGCAGACCCGGTTGCACCCGGGGCTCTGAGGGCTGGATGGAGGCTGGGCGGCGGGGCTGGGGCAGCGAGCGCCGACCCTCCTTCAAGCGGAGGCGCGCGGCGGGCTGGGGGCGCCTGCGGCCGGCTCCCCCATGGCACCCCGCCCTCCCCGGGGGCGCTGGCCGCCTGCTGTGTGCCGGGGCCGGGGCCGGGCCCGCGCCGGGGTCCGGCTGCCTGGGCGCCCGCTCCCTTGCTCGGCAGCGGCGGCAGCTGGCTCTGCTCCTCGCCCGCCCGCCTGTCTCTATTGTTCAGCCCTGCTCGGCTCTCCTCTTTATTTTTCCTCCTCCTCCCTCCCGCCCTCCCTGGCTCTCTCCCTCCTCCCTCCCTCGCTCGCTCGCTCGATCGCCCGCTCTCGGGCTCCCCCTCTGGCTCCCGCCGCCGCCGCTGCCGCCGCCCGGCTCCTCCCCCGGCTCCCGCTCCCCGGTCCCGGCCAACAATGCCCGGGCGGCAGCGCCGAGCTCCGCGGAGGCTCCGGCGGCCCGGGGCCCCGGCTGGCCGCGAACCCCCGGCAGCGCGGCCGCCTCCTCGCCCCGCGGCCCGGCGCCGGCCTCTCAGGGGGCAGAGAGCCGCCCCGAGCTATTGTTCCCGCGGCGCTAGGCCGGCCCCCTGAGCCCCGGGGGCAGGAGAACCCCGCGCGGGAGGGGAGGGGGGGCGGCGGCAGGAGGGGCGGGGCCGCCCCGGGTTCCCCGTGGTCCTGGTCCTTGGTCCGCGCCGCGCCCCGCTCCCAGGTGCGCGCGATGGGGAACCCCGATCCGCTAGTCCGCCCTCTCTGCAGACCGTTCCCGGAGCTGGACAGACCTGTCCCCTAGGGGCTGCACTTTTCCTCCCTCCCTTCTGATAAGCTCTTCTCTCCAGCCTCGCTCCCCACCTCCGGAACCTCTTGCGTTTTCCTCACGACCTCCCCAGAGTTCTTTTCTAGCTTTTTCTTCCTTTTCCCCCTTTTAGGCGCCCCTTGACGCATCTCCCTGCCTGGCTCCGTGACTCTTTGTCCAGTTCGTTCCTCTTGCGAGGTCCTCCCTGCCTATCTCTCCCTCCCTCCCTCCGTCACTCTTCTGTCTTCCATTCGTCTCTGTCTCTGTCCTGCCCTGGTACTTGGCCCGTAGCTCAGCGCTTCTCTTGGACAGCTGTCAAAACTCCCTAATCCCTGGGGCTCTGTTTTGTTGTTCTTCCTCGTTTGAATGGGGGAGATCCAGTTGGCCAGGAGCAGGGAGGTGTTACAGCAAGCTGAATTTCAATTAAAGTGGGGAAGAAAGGCTGGAGAGGCATGGGGATGACAGCAAAGGGAGAAAGCAGATGCTGTATGGGGTAATTAATGCAGCGATTGTATTGTGCCAATTGGTTTTTAAGCAATAATTAAACAATAATTAGCCAGTATTCTGTTTATAGTGACTGCAGAGACTATAAAATAGAGGCTCTTTAACCTGAGTACTTAATGTGTTGTGTTGGGGGCTGTGACTGCTGCCTCATCCAGGCAAAGGGAGAGGCTGTGGCCTGACCTAATGTGTTAAACACGCGTCACAGGAAAACCAGGTCCTGGTTTAAAGTTGATGGCCTGGTACCCACCAGCCAGAATCTTCCGCGTCTGTTTGTCTCTGGCAGCCTACCTCGTTCTCTCTGCCGCTGTCTGGGTCACAGCACCTGGGACCTTTCCAAAGCTACCTAACTCTACTGGCAAACAGAATGAATTAAATAAGTTTTTCGTGAACACTTTCTGGCTCCGTGGACTCATCACTTCCTTTACTGGATGTCACCATTTTTGTTCGTTGGTTTAGTTACCTGTCTCCAATCTTGGGTATATCTATCAGACCCCATTTCTTAAAAATTTTTAATAGTGACTCAGATCACAAGTTAACTGCCATGAGATCGAATTCATCTGGCCCTGATATTTTTTTAAAATATATTTTATTGATTTTTTTTTTAAGAGAGGAAGGGAGAGGGATAGAGAGGTAGAAACATCGGTGAGAGAAACATTGACTAGCTGCCTCCTGCACACTCCCTACTGGGGATGTGCCCGCAACCAATGTACATGCCCTGGGACCTTTCAGTCCGAAGGCTGACGCTCTATCCAAACTGGTTTTGGCTGGCCCTGATATCTTGAACTGTCAAGTATCCTCTACTTACCACCTCCTCTAACAATGAAAGTACTTCTCATTTGTCTTTTCTAAATTTTGCCTTCCTAAATTAACTCCATGACAAAACCCTGGCCTGTACTCCCCCTCCTCACTGCCGCCACCCCCACACACGGGATGACTGTTGTGCAGATAGAGAACCAGAGTCATGGCAAGACTACTATCTCATCCTAAACTGAGAAGGATCATTGTATGTTTAGAGGGAAGTTCATATTAAAAAATCTCAATAAATAGGGACCAGAATGGGTGATAGCCTTACATAATGACATTGATTTTTTTAGAGGAAATTTGGTGATTTCTATTAAAAATTTAAATGTTCTTAGCTATATTAATATCAGACATATATTTCAGAGCAAATATTACCAGGGACATTTCAATGTATTAACTGGACATACGAAATCCTAACCGGTTTTGCATTTAATAAAAGTTTCAAAAAATATGAACAAAACTGATAGACTATAAGGAGAAATAGACAAATTTATAACTATGAGCAGAGATTTTAATACCTATCTCATTTAATAATTAGTTGAATAAAGAGAGAGATAATTAGAAAGATATTAACAATGGTATCAACCAACTTAACCTAACTGACATTTATAGAATATTCCACTCAACAGTGGCAGATACACATTTTTTTCAGGTGCACAGGTAACATTTTTTAAGATAAACCATCTGCTAAGACATCAAATAAGTCTCAGTAAATTTAAAACGATTCACCATGCACAGTATTATGCAAATTATACCTCAGTTGTTTTTTTTCAGTCATATAAAGTATATTCTTGAGCACAACACAATTAAATTACAAATCAACAACAAATACCTGGAAAATCCTTCCAAATATTTGCAAACTAACCCATGGTCAACAAAGAACTCAAGGGGGATATTAGAATTTGAAGTGAATAAAAATGAAAACACATCATATGAATATCTGTGAGATATAGCTAAAGCAGCAGTTAGAAGGAAATTTTGATTCCTAAAATATTTTGAAAAGTCTCAAATCAATGATTTCCTGTTCTACCTTAAGAGTAAATTAAACCCAAAGCAGAAAAACAAAAATGTTTAAGGAGCAGAACCAAAGCAATGAAATAACAGAAAAACAAAAGAGAAAAATCAATGAATCCAAAACTGGGTTCTTTGAGATCCATAAAATTTATAAATCTCTAGTTAGACTAGAATAAGGCAACAAGAAAAAAGAATCAAATTATAACTAACAGAATTAAGAGAGGTGACATCACTATTGATTATAGAGATGTAAGAAAATAATGGAATATTATAAACAATTTTATAACAATAAATTTGACAATTTCCATAACATGGACAAGTTCCTGGAGATACAAACTGCTAAAGCTTACTCAAGAATAAATAGATAATTCAAATAGCCATACATTTATTAAAGAAATAAAAATTTTAGCGTAAAAGTGTCCTATTAAAAAGACTCTCATAATCCCTATGGCTTCATTGGTAAATTCTGTGAAACATTTAAGGCAATAATAATAAATAATAGCAATCCATACTCACTATTCCAGAAAAATAAAGAAGAGGGAATTATTGCCCAATTATTTCTATAAGGCCAGCATTACACTGATGCCAGAACTAAACAAAGGCCAACTAAGAGAAAAGAAACTACAGACCACTATCTTTCATAAACATATACGCAAAATTCTTAATAAAATTTTAGCAAAGCAAACCCAATCTACACTAATAAAAGAGAAATATGCAAATTGACCATAATTTGCTATGCTTACCAGCCAATCAAGAGTAGGTATGCAAATTAACCCAACAAAGATGGCAGGTTAGTTTGCATATACAGGCTCTGAGCAGCCTGGGGCGGGGCAGGCATTCCCCACCGCCCCAGCAGCTCTGGCCTCTGTGCAGCATGGGAAGGTGGAAAGGCAGCTCTGGGCCAGAGCAAAGGCGGTGCCAGCAGCCAAGGGAAGGCAGGCCCATTCATGCACAAATCTTTGTGCATCGGGCCTCTACTAATATATAAAAAGGTTAATACATCATGGCCAAATTGCTTATCCCAAGGATGCAGGATTGGTTTGACATTTGAAAATATATTAGTGTAATTTACAATGTGTTATGAGTCGAATTTTGTCCCCCCAAAAATACACTAAGTCCTAAAATGCAGTACCTGTGAATGCGATCTTATTTGGAAATAAGGTCTTTAGAGATGTAATTAATTTTGAATGAGGATATTAGGGTGGGCCCTAACCCAATATAACTTGTATCCTTATAAGGAAAAAACTCCATGTTAAGACAGAGAGAAAACACAATGTGTCCACAGAGGCAGAAATTGGAATGATACTACTGAAAACAGAAGAACACCAAGGATTAACAGCAACCACCAGGAGCTAGGGAGAAGCAAGAAAGAATTCAAGCCATAGACTTAGAGGGAGAATAACCCTGCTGACACTTTAATTTGGACCTCCAGCTTCCAGAACAGTGACAGAATAAATATATTTTAAGCTACCAGTTTGTGGTACTTTGTTACAGCAGTCCTAGAACATTAATATACATACAATACTAAAAAGAAAAACCATATGGTCATTTTAGTAGATGCAAGATAAGCATTTAACAAAATGCAGTGTCCACTTTTGATCAAAATTCTCAGAAAGCTAGAAATAGAAGGAACTTCCTCAACTTAATAAAGGGCACCTAACCAAAACACCTATAGCTAATATCATAATGATGAAAGACAATTTTTCTCCCCCAAAATA